TGTATGTATAGTTTACTTTTGTTTAATAAAGCGCACATAACTAGCCTGACAGCGGGTTAAAAAAAAAAAAAAAAAAATTAAATAATTATTAAATTACAGTATAAGTAAAAATAAAATAAAAAAAGAAGATAAAAAGTTTTGTTTCAAACTATATATATAATAATATAATTTATATAAAAAAATTAATATAATAATATTTCAAGTTAGTAAAGGAGTGAAATATCATTTCCTAAGTTGTATCTAGAGAAATAGTTTTTTGATATGGATGAGTTAGTATGTGAAAGTCAAAATATTTTGTAAATATCTTTTATATATACAATAAAGACAAGCCATACTGACTTGATTGCAGGTTAAAAAAAAAAAAAATTAATATAATAATATATAATTTAATATTAATAAAATAGTTTTATATCTAATCTGCAGTAGTGACCTGCAGGCAATGAAGTTAACAGTTGGAAGAGTCTTTATCTGAACTGCTAATGGAGTGATAAATCACTCTCGAAGTTGCACTTAGAATTTTAATAATTCTTAAAATAGAGATGAGTGAGTTAGGTAGAGATTTAGCTTTAGCGATACATTTTCAATGTAAAGTATACATATGTTTAATAAAGCACACATACCTAACCTGACAGAGGGTTTAAAAAAAAAAATATATAGTTTTATATCTAATATCAATTTTGATCTTTGAAAAATTAAAAAAATTATTTATAATATTATAATTAGAAATTTTTTTATTTGAATTATTAGGTTAAACTAAGACAAATAAATTAATAAAAAATTTGTTAGTTTTAGTGATATACAATCTAAAAATTTTATTATCAATTTAGTCTCAATAACGTGATCAGATCTGTTGGCTATAAATAGTGATATAAATAAATTAAATATGTACGCACGCACATCTCAAGTGTTTTTGAAAATTGCATTCTCCTCTAGTTCTCGGCTTCGTAGTAGTTGTTCTTATTTGAGAGCATTCGAAAATAATTGATAAAACGAGCGATTCATATTATGGTAAAAGATGGCTGTGGACTTGGAAGATTCTTCTTCTATGTGGGAGTTTATGTTCGAATCCATGTCTAAAGGAGCGGACAGCATATTTCGGTGGCTTCCAGGCGTGGAAGTGGTGGACAATAACGGACAATCTTTGGAGCCGCGAGAGTATCAACCGGGACTATGGAATTTTTTATATTCGAATCACTTATACCTCGCGATCTTTGTTGTAAGCATTTTAGTCTCGAACTGAATCTTTTTTTGTTGGAGCAACTATAAATATGTAATATCTGACCCATTATATTTCTCACAGAACGTTCTCAATAATAGGATAAATGCAATTGTTACACCTCGAAACCCGAGACCATTGCCAAAAACAACCCGGTTGCTAATCCGTTTACCCTGTTTTTATCTAATGGCAAAATCAGCACTCGTACTTTTATCACGGCTTGTGATAGGTTGTGTTGGTTTACAACCATACTTTTCACAATGGATTGTCGATTTTGGGATCGATTATACCGATCATCAATCGCTTTGGTTGTGCTTAAAGGCATTGTCTGCCGTGTATGTGATGAAGGCTTTTCACTCGAGTCTTGAAAATCGAAGGTATTCAATATTGTGAATAAGTTGGTCCGATGATCAATAGTAATGCATCTGACGTTTCTGGATCTTCGTTAATTTAATTCAAACCATTTCGCACCATAGTTTACCGGGAAGAGAGCAGAGCACTACCCTTTATGAATACGCATTGTTGTTTCATTATTTTTGTAATGTTTCCCCAAATCATTCAAACACAGATTTGCTCTTCATAGCAATTCTCGAAGTTCTCGATATTTTCTTTCTCGAGGTGTTGTACCTTCATCCACGCGGTATTCAATACAGACTCATACCTACTAGCGTTGTTGGCATAGCAGGAATCAGTAAGTCAAAGTGATCTCTCACACTCTTTTTTTTTCTTTGGAGTTATTCAAAAAATAACCATAGAATCGTTTAAAATATTCTTTACAATCGCAGTTCACTATGCATACGCATTATTCATTAAATCTGATACATATCCTATACTTCAAAGTTTTGCTCGATTTCCAGAATTGGCGTTGATCGTTATTATTTTTATATGTGTCATCCTTCATATAATTGCATATGTCGTAACGGGAGGAAACGTTCGTCGAACCTTTTTCTTGGACGCCAGATCGATGCCCTCGCTTCATGAGGATTATACCATGGCACTGTATCGAGTCGGTACTATTGTTATAGAAACAAGTCGTGTTGATGGTTTTCGCAATGAGCTGCCACCAATAGCTGTTCCACTGGGTACCATATTCGAACGCTCAAAAAAGAAGAAAGCACGATTATCCGTAGACAACGCGAACAAAAGAAGGCCAACATGTGGATTTGACAACGAGCAGCAAGACACTAATGATTTGATGGTTACTGAATCTAACGGAGGTCCACGTCGAGTAGTAGTCTGGTCAAATTTTATCCTTCAAATAATTCAAGTATTTATTGAGGTTATAATGCGAATTTTCTACTGGTTGAGGTCGTTATTCTATTCAGGGAGTCAGCCTGTATCAAATAATGGCGGTGTTACGCCACAAAACGATGGCAATAACGAAGGTATAGACGAGATTGATTTGGACGAAGAGATATATCAAAAGTTTCTTCGTGAAGATCTAGACGATCGGGATGATGAAGAAGATGATGACTTTACATGGACCAGTACATCTTCACAAATTGTAAATGAAGATTCTTGTGAAGATAATGATTCAGAACATGAAGAAGATCTTACAATTCCTGGTGATGAACTAATGTTATTAGGAAATGACCTCCGAGAACATGAGGAACAACAAGCATCTTCCTCCACATCAATGACAACCACAACACCACCGTCCTCACTTATGCATTCGTTTTTTGCTCACTTGATGCATTCCTCGATACTCACTCGCACACAGTATAAAAAACTCTCGCAGAATAATATGTTTTCCACGTCACTTGATGAGTCGTCTGCACTAATGTCGCTGATAAATGAAAGACGTATGCCACGTTCAACATCTCAGCCCATAACCGATCGTGTGTGCGTAGTTTGTCACGGAGAGGCTCGTCAATGCCTCCTCAAGCCATGTGGCTGTTTTGCACTTTGCAATGAGGTTTGTTAATATATTACAATTTAATCATTTACTTTGTTTGGCCATTGGACTTTGGTACTAAATGTGCATGATGAATGTTATTTTCAGTGTCGTGAGATGATGGCTCAACGTAAATTCAAGTGAGTTATATCCTCGCTACATTGGCGATGTATAGTTATGTGTGAAAAGTGTATTCATATCACTCGCGATTTTTTTCATTAGATCATGCCCGTGCTGTCGAAGAACAGTTGAAGGATATTCTAGAATATATATTCCATGAACATAGATATTTGAAGAATGTGAAAGTATATTTCCTTTACGGTCCATGCAACGCGCGTACGATGAAAAACCGGTGGAGTGATTTTTGCGAAAGTTATGGAGTGTGTCATTCTGCAGTTGTTTTTCATTACACCCTAATTGCGCCGATGGCTGTAAACGTGAAAAATTGGATTGGAGTAGATAATGACAAGGAAAAAAAAAAAAATTTTTTTTTATAATTGTAGAAATTCTCGGATGGAATTCGTAAAATGAAGCGAATTACCAAATAATAAACCATTATCCATTGTTTAGTCACATGGATTCTCTGACAACCAGATCCATTCGCGTAATGACCAAATTTATTATTATCATGTCTTAAACCAAATTTCGGATAACTATTAGTTAATATTCGCTATATCAATCCCAGACGCTCTCTCAATACGCTTCTCAAGTTCAGGTGGTGCATCATCCCCATAAACCTAGAGATCAATGAATATATTTAATATATAAAAATATTTATATTTATTTACCCTTTTTTTTTTTTTTTTTTTTTTTTTTTTTTTTAAAAAAAAAATATATTTAATTAAATCGAGTGCATCAACATTACACTTAACTGCTTTAATGAATTCACAGAGGTTTGATTCTGGCACTTCAATTTTTGCCCTCGGGCCCCAGCGATATTCAACCGGGTCTTTCTCAGATGTTTGCGAAGAATTTTCAACAATGCTTGCCTTCTGTTTGTCTAGATATCCTTGCTTAACGAAATTTGCAATAAGTTTTTCCAAATCAAATTTCTCTTTGTTGTCAAGGTGAAGGTGACGTAAATAGTGGTTAAGTTGATCTGCAAAGTCGGAATCACATCGAGAACTTGCAATTAGATTTCGTATGTCTTCTATGGATCATCAATGAAAAAAATAATTACTACCGTCGGACAAAACTCTTCCGTTCACATGAATCAAGCTGAGAATAACAGTGAGTAGGCCCATCACTTCCAAGTCTTTATTCTTGTCCCAATTAATTAAATCAGTATCGAGAAGTTTTTTTGGAAGTATATTTTGTAACATGTACGATTTTGAAGACGGCTTTTCTTTATTTTGGGCACCTGAATTTACATTCGTTAAAGAGGAAAAAAAAAAAAGATCAACGCAACATGACATTAGATCGTACTTCTTCGTGGTGCACTCGAACCGACATTGACTCTTTTATCCTTTGCTGGCATCTCTACCAAATCCATTCCAAATATGTCGCGTAATCTTTCCTGGGCTTTTGATAATATTACCGGAAAAGCTCTTGAATGTTCCATTAGCACTTCACAAATAAAAATTAGTCAGTTGAGCACAGATGCGATGTCGTTTAGATAACTTTTTTTTACCTTTCTTTGTAATTTCCTCGCGCCTTAGAGGAACCTTACGTAGCTCAGATGCCAAAGCAAGTCTAACAACCTCTTTCACTTTTCGTTCAAGCTCCTTGTATTCGGTTCATTGTCAAATGTTTTTCGAGGGTAGACAAACTCAACAATCTTCTCAAGTTTACCTCTTTGGACATCTTCTGAGCACTCTTTTCTGCAAATGAAGAGTGAACGCCGGATCCTTCGTTTGAAGAAGAATCGTCGGAGGGTAACTCTACTTCTTCCTCCTCCTCCTCCTCCTCCTCTTCCTCCTCTTCCTCTACCTCCTCTTCGGCTCGCCTGCGCTTTTGGCCACTCGCTCTTTCACCGCCAGGCTGAGTCCCGCGTCTTGCATTTCTTCTTGGTGCTCTTTCTTCTTCGACGTCCTTCATTTACCAAGGAAATAAGCAAGGTGTGACGAAAAAGAGATCACTCGAAATTTCAAACTCCAACCTCATTCAAAAGAGTGCGACGGCCTCTTGAACTCTATCGAAAAAAATTTTATAAGCCCTACGTTAGATTTTTCATGTTTAAATTTTCCCTCGAAACTAGAAAAAATACCATTTCGATTCTATTTTAAATTTATATTTATTAACTAACGGACTGTATTTAACCACGCGCAAATCAATTCGCGCGTATACGTAACGTACCACGTATTTTCTGAATTATCTAATCTAATTGGTTAACTCTATTATAAGTTGTGTTACCATATGTACATATGATTTTTGTACTGGCGATTCTAAACGTCCTTCCAAATCGTGCAGAGTTTTTCATAAAGATAATGAATTTGGAATTAAGGAGTAAAGTCTTTTTAAAACTACTTTCATTAATAAATGAGAAATTTGACGATATGACGTTATTCTCACATTCTTGATGTTACGTTAGGTCCCTTCGATTTGGATTATCCCTCGAAATATGAATCAACCGTGAGAGATGGTCCTGTGCGATGCATTAGTTTCAACAAACGAGGTACGATGTTGGCCGGTGGTTGCAGCGACGGATTCTGCATAGTATGGGATTTTCAATCGATGAGTATTATTCGAAAAGCGAAATGTCACTCCTTCCCGGTGACTGGCGTAAGGTAACTTTTGGTGCCGCGTTGTTGATCACCAAGTGTCCACCAAACTGACCTGTTTACAAAACAGTTGGTCACGCAATGGTCATTGCGTGCTTTCGTGCGGTGAGGATGAAAAGTGCGTCTATTGGGATTTGGCGAAAGGCGCACAAAAAGTCGTTCATTTCGGCTGTCCCGTGCTTACGGCACAAATGCATCCGAAAAATAAGTTGGTGGACATTTATTTTTTGGTTTTCTGCGTTTGCTCATTGAGTACTTCGAAGCTCATTTGTTGGCGATAGTTCTATGTTTGTCGTCTCGTTATTTCAAGAATTGCCGGTAATCGTGGAACTGGGCGACGACACTATTCGACATTTCTCTCTACCGACTAACTCGGATACGCCGTCGGAAATGAATTTATCCGTATTAGAGAAAATGAATTCCTCAAAGTACAGTATTTTGCGTAAAAATTCATTCGTTTATTTTTACTTGTTTAACCGGTCGGATGAACTTACTTGTTACTGATGATAGGCAATAATAATCCGCTCTATAGTAAAACGGTTGTTTGTCGATATGACAAACACGGTACGCGTGTACTTGCAGGCACCAGTCAAGGCTATTTAAATATAATCAATCCTGAATCACTGCAGGCGAGTGAATTCTTTCGCGCTCGATCCGAATTCGAAAAAAAATTATTTTATTTTATTTTGATTTTGATTTTTATTTTCGTTTATTTACTTTTTAACCTTCGAACAAACATTAGATACTTCATACCACCAGAATTAATAACTCAGCAATCAAAGAGATTATCGTGAGCCGCAATGGGAAGTATGTGTCTTCTCTTGGGTTGCAAGGCAATTGTGGAAGTGAATTAATAATAACAATATTATTATTTTAATTCCTATCATTCTTTATCGTTTACTACTGGTTATATATACATATGTGTTTCCCCCCCCCCCTAAAACAGAGATGTAATCGTGCAAACTTTGGATAAAACAATTCGCCTATATTGGTTGGATGACCAGGGATTGCATAATTCGGAACTGTTGTTTGCGGAAACCGTCAATAAAAATAATTGGAATCAATGTTGTTTCAGTCAAATTGGCGAATACATAATTGGAGGTTGTTGATTTCACTAATAATGCACCATCAAATACAAAATGTTGATTTCAGGGATTTAATTTCGATTACCCGTTAATAATAAAGTTCATCTACAATTTTTTTAAGGCTCCGCAAAGGTGGCTTCTCATGAGATATACATATGGGACATAGGAACTGCCAGGCTGGTCCAAACTTTGCAAGGTCCTTATGAAACCCTCATAGATCTCGCCCAACATCCGGTACAACCGGTCATCGTGTCGTTGGATGAACAGGGAGCCATACACACATGGACAACACGTCACAAAGAGGACTGGGTCAATTGGGATCCAGGGTTTACGGAGATCCACGACAACATAGTGTACGAAGAGCGGGAGGATGAATTTGATGTGATGAGCGACGATGAAAACTTTGGCGTGCAAAGTGATCAAGTTCAAGAAGTGATCGATGATGAAGAAATTGATGTGGCGACGGTTGATAGGCCGGAGAATTCGGACTCATCTGATGACGGGGAAGATTTCCTTAATTTGTATGATTCCGGAGTGGAAAATACAGAAATTTACACCATCGCAAGGAATGCACAGACTGGGTCTTCGGGGGATAGAATCATTTCAAACGCTACCAACCTAGTGCAAAGTACAAAAATGAAAGAAAAGAGCAAGATTCGTGTTGGGTATGAGGAAGAAACTAATGGATGGACGAAAAGATCATGATAAAAAGTTGCAAAGTTAACTTGAGGTTGGATAGACTAATATAATAATAGTGCTGTGATACCAAGAGACTAAAGTGAAACTTTTGTCTATTAATCTAACCATATATATGGCTCACTACTTGTATATATATAACATATGCGTATATTAGATAATCATACTGATCGCTGGATGATCTAATATCCTTGAAATGCACGCACACTCTCAACTTAGCATATTTTACAACAGACATACTTTTTTTGTAAATAGTTTTTTTTTTTTCACACAAAGTAACGTCCTGCATATAAATTACGTCGGTGTCAAATTCTTGTCACACGCATCAACCATGGGCGGTCGGCCAATTGAAAATAGGATTTACGTAAAAGCCACTTGTGTTTAGAAACGGATTTTGACAAAAAAAAAAAAAAAACGGCAAAAACCTCGAAATTAAAAACTCGCAACAGTATGTGTGACCGCATTAGGAATTCTTGTCAAGAAATTACAGACGCCAACGACAACGACCGGCAAGCCTTTAAATTCTCACTGGATTCGTTTCCGATTAAACCTCCTTCACCCTCACCGTTAAGTTCGCCACCGTCAACAACTACAAATTTGCGATTTGCATCACAAGGTGACTTGGGAAAAATTTTTGCTGTGGAAAACGCTTCTCCCCTGAGTACCGATCAAGCAGAACATCAACCTTTCTTTCGCAAGATAGCGCGCCCTATACCACCTTCATTAAATACTAATTTTACTCAACTAATAATGTCGCATAATAATGGCAATTACAACAATAGTTATACGTCATCCCTTTGTCAAGTTGATAACAGTCCAGACGACACACCTGGTCATAGGAGGAGGGACAGTAACGTCTCAGCGATGTCAATACAATTGTATGATGTGGTAGGATCTGGTCATCAACGACGTGATAGTAATGTATCCAACATGTCAATGCAACTAGACACCCCTACTCCCTCGAGCGGAACAGAATCTGGTAACGAAGAAGAAAGTAAATTAGCTTGCTTTCCATTTACATTTTCACAAAAGTCATTAACAGTGTCAAGGCCTAGCACGCCAACACCAACAACACCACCACCACATCCAACAAGTTTCTATTCTGCGCCAACGACAAAAGCAAATGTATCACCCCTGGTAGCTCATCAACGTATGAGAAGAATGAGTTTAGATATAAGCATGGAGGCAGGATATTTAAACGGTTCGCCTGAAGGAAGAAATGAGAAACCATCACCTATGCATCGTGCCGTCAGGGCGAGGAGAGCTTCACTTTTGGTATGTTTCATTATTTCTTTGTCATTTAATTCATTTCTTTTCCTCTTAACATCTATTCTGCTAAAATGTATCAGCCAAAAACGAAGTCTTTCCAACGTGTTGCCAATGAGCTCCAAGAAGAATCCCGACCATTTGAAACGGAAATCAAACAAGAATATAAAACAACCAAGGTGCTAAAGAATGAAGTCGATTCCATAATGGATACTGGAAAATCACCATTACCAGAGGTTTTTTTTTTTTTTTTTTTTTTCCTTTTAATAATTATGATTTTTGTCTGCCATAAGATGACATAGTGAACATTGTCGTCTTTATTAGGAGTTTCTTAACAATTGGGTTAAAATCAGAGATATCCAACCTTCTCCACCACCACATGCGGCCTCCAAGTTAAATCCAGAAATCGAACTTACGGTATCTTGAAAGATTCGTTCATTCGAATGGTCCTTTTTCAGTTTACTAACTTGACTCTATAATAGCTCCGTCAGGATACTCCTTCACCCACTTCTGCCGTTGGGCCATGGCCCATCAGTAGTCGTATAAAACGCAAAGGTGATGAAAATTCTTAACATGAGTTCATCTTGGGCGTTGATGTAATATTAATCACTTCCTTTACGCTTACAGCATCGGACGATCGATTTGAGCCATATTTCAATCCAAAAAGGCGGGCCGTGTCCCCGAGCTTGGTTGGGAGTCCTCCGGTCGCTTCGAGTGTCCCATCGCCACCAACAAACACTAGCTCATCATCTTATTCTTTGGCAACAATAGGGACGTCGGGTAGCCATATAGCCACCTCGAGGGGACAAGTCAAGAGTAACAGCTGCTTAGCTAATATTCAAGACGCTAACGGAAGTTTTAGTAGAATGAATTTAAATGGAGAATGATTGACTACAAAACAAAAAACCGAGTCTTGCATTAATATTTATTTATATAAAAAAAAAAACCAAATAAAACAATAAACATTGTTTCGAAAATAGATCAACCCGATCTTTGTAATTTATGATCTTTATGATCATCGTGCGAAAAAACCCAGTCACGTTGAAGTAATTTTTGTGTAAAAAGAAAAAAGGTTGAGATAACAGGTTACGATAAGTCAACAGAAGAATTGTTAAGCTTTTTTCACGCTTTTCTTGGAATTACTACTCTTTATCATAACCAAAGACAAAAAAGTAAACACTACTGTTAAACCCACGAATAATATGACAACTGGTATTTTTATGGCATATGACCTATCCGGAAAGTATTCGTGTAAAGGGTGGTCTTCATCCACGAAAGGCTGTAAAGAATTAATAAAGGTCAAATCTAAAATTCCACGTCCCAATTTCTGAAGCACGAAGTGTGTAAAATATGAACCATAATTAATGCCCATATTGTGTAATAGAGGAACAAGGCTACGGAAGAAAGAAGTAAAGTGGCACCCAAAGCCTTATCTTGTCCACCTGATGCCTAATCGGAAAAATATGGTCAATTTAATCAACCGGGATCTGATTTTTAATTAATTAAGGATTCGTACGAACCATTGAAAAATCACAAGAATGGTCAAAGCGTAAACTATTACGAAAAATTTTTAGTAAGTCAAAAGGTTATCTCAAAATGACCAATAAAAATTCGAGTCTTAAGCGTATAATATATTGTTTTTTAATCCGTGACCATAAGCACATGGCTTAATCTTTATTGAGAAGTTTATGTAACTATCATTACATAAGTGGTAATAAAAAAGATTTTTTTTCAAGATTCAAGTAAAAACAAATTTCTTTTGAGAGAAAATTGTTTAATTGTTTTTTTTTTTTTTTTCCCTTTTTAATTTATAATCAGATCATTATCTATTAAACTTAATAAGAATAGAATTTTGTAATTTATATTATTTATCTTTTACTTTTTAATATTTTAAATATTTTTTTTTTAGATCTTAAAACTTTTTAAGACAAACTTTTTTTTCAATTTTCATTGATATTATCAAACCATGTGAGTATAATCAATAAAAGTTTGTTTATATTCTATAAATTAATATATTTTTTCTTTTTTATTATAAATCCTAAGTTAAGTTAGGTATGTGTACTTTATTAAACATTTGCATACTTTATATTATTAAATGTTTCATTAAAGCTAAATCTCTATCTAACTCACTCGTCTCTATTTTAAATTTCTAAAACTCTAAGTACAACTTCAGAAGTGATTTATTGTTCTATTAGTAGTTCAGGTATAAACTCTTCCAACTGCTAATTTCATTACCTGCAAGTCACTACTGCAGATCACTCTTTAATGTTCGGACCGGACTTAGAATCCTAATCATTTCATTCTATACTCCACTTCTTTTATTAAAATCTTCTTTAGGCTTTCATATTCTAGTCTTCCTTCTTCCGATAATAGTTCTTTTCTTATTAAAGATATAGTTTTCTGTCTTACCAGGATTGAAATTTTCTTGTTTTGTCTTTTCTACTAATTCTCTGAGTTTGTTTTCATTCAATAATCTTTTTACATCTTGTGTTCCAAATTCTTTTTTGAACTTGATTGCAAACTCTTTTTTGTATCTTTATTATCTATTTTTTAGCTTTTTTTCCTATGCATTTACCATGACATTTTAGATCTATCATTTCTAAAATGAAATCCTTTCTTACGAGACTAGCACAAAAGCTTAAAGTATTTTGATTAGTTATAGAAATCTATTTCACTAGTCTAGAAATCCACTTGTCAAGCTCTCCTAGTTCTTTTTGATCATCAATATTTTGTCTATTACTTTTTTCCTCAACTTCCTTTCTTCTTTCTTATAGAAGCTATTTAAAGCTTCTAAGAGTTCCATCTATTTCTTTATTTCATACTTCTTGAAATTGATTCTTATAGGCTAGACATTCTAACAAGTATTCTATTGTTTCATCCTGCTGGCTACATGCAATGAACTTCACTTACTTATATAGGTCAGATCTTTTTGTGGTCAATTTATATAATGTTGGTAACTTGTTATTGATCAGTTTGATGAGAAAGCTTTTTTGTTAAGATTTTTTTAAAGATATATTCCATATATGACCATCTTTTATTTTTTTTCACATTAGATTCTATGTATGATCTTGTTGCTCTAAAATCTGGTAACTTCATTATTTTTCTGTTCAGTTCTTCTAGGTCTACAGATAAGCAATTGTTTTGCTATTTATATTTTTAATAAACTATCTAATTGGGTCATCTAAGGTCATATTTTGTTACCTGATTTCTATAATGATCTTGTGGAAGTTAAGATTTCTCCATTCAATTGGTATGAGTTTTATGGCTTCTTTGGCTAAAGCATCTGCTTTTTCATTATAAGGGTTATTGAAGTGTGCTTTGACTTTGATAAGCTTCAGATTTACTGTTTTTTTCTTCATTAGCTTTACCATTCGTGCCCATAGAAATCAATTTTTTTCTTTTAGCCATCTTTTGAATGTTCTTTTTGGATCCTCCTTTTTCATCTTCTTTCATTTAATAATTTAAGTCTGACTATCTGTACAAATCTCAACTATACTATTAATAGAAACTACTAAGAGTATAGTTAAGATTGCTACCAACTCAACCCTTATAAATGATGGCCAATTATCTACTCCTGTTTGAAATCTGCTTTTTCTTCCAGTATTTCCTATCTGAATCTATGCAGCACCTATTCTCATTTATTTTTTACCATGATTGATCAGTAATCCATTAGAATAAAAGGTCAGCTTTTCTTTGAATCCTAGATTGTGTTGAAATATTTTTATTAATTGATCTAAATATACTCCTTTTTTAATATTTTCTCTGATTATAGTTTTTTCCCAAGTTTCATATCCACATGATCTATTTTATTGTTTTGAGAAAAAGTCTTAAAAGAATACCGATATCTATAAATTCTTTTTATAATTATGTTTTTTAGTGTGCTTTGGGATTAGGGATTTTTAATTCTCTTATTTGTCTAGTAGATATCCTTTTATTGAGATAGGATATTGTATAGATTTTTTCTTTATCTTTTTTTATGATACAACTATAGTTTTATATTGTTTCTTTTAAGCATCCAGGATATTTTTATAATCTTGTCTCCTGGCCATTATTAGTACTGAAACAGATGAAATGTTTCACTATTGCATTATATTTCTCTTTTGCTTGTTTTAATTTTCCTCAAATTAGTTGATCATTTTTGTTGTTCTATACTACCTACAGTTTATATCATTTGTCTTGATTAGGACTTATTTTAGGGTATTTTGGCTTCTATTTTGTACAGACTTCTTTCTAAGTTTTTGTGAGTTGCTATACTTGTATATTTGAGAGGTTTTTAATTATAATCTGATACCACTTTGGAATAGGTCCTTTACTTGTATTCTGTATTAGTTGAAGCATTCGCCAATTCCTTATTTCTATATTTTCCTGATCTAATAACTAATCTAAATACATCAGTTTATTATTTCTTAAAGATGATATGGCCTTTCTATATATTTCTGATATAAGGTAATCTTGAATCAGACTATTTCCTTTATTCCATTTGAATATTTTTTGCCATTTTCAACTGTGAAATGTTATCTCTATGTCTTTTGCCAATTTAGTTACCTGGAGTGAAAAGTTGCTTTTATCTGATAAGTGACTTAGTGACTTGCAAGTTAGTAAATTAAGTGGTTTCCAATATTTGATTTATGCTTGCTTGAGTCTAATAATTGTTGTGATTTCAACTGATCCTAGATTATTTAACCTATTACATAAGCCCACTATTTGACTTTCTTGTTGCAGCATCCAGATACTTTTCAAGTTGAGAATCTTTAAATGATGAACTATACTATTTGGTATAGATTTGTATAATATATTTTTATTTTTGAAAAGTTTTTTATATGCTGCTATCAATATATTGTATATTTTCCAAGATAATATACTATATTGCATTCTAAATTTTATTCTGGATATTAATACCCTATTTAGAATGTAGAGAGCCTGTTTGTCAGTTATTTTCTTACTTTTCAGAGCTCTGTAATTATGTTGATTTCTTTAAATACATATTCTTTGAGTTTAATTGTGGTCTTTTGGTTGCTAGTCCAGATTCCTAAAAATCTGGCTTGTTCTGTTCTATCAAGTTCTTTAATAACTTCTTCTTTGATGCCTACATGCACTTCTTCTAAATAACAATTAGAGTTGTTGATAGTTGCAAGTATTGACTTGTTACTATTGATTTGGAAATTATTGGTATTGTAAAAAGCTCTTGCGGTTTTCAAGATTTCTTTCATATCTTTTTTAAACCTTACTATTCATATCATATTATCCATGAAGGATATAGCTGCATGCCTTGATTCTAACTTTCTAACATTATGATCTTTTAGATCAGGATTCCAAGTAATTGATATTTTGTATTCCCTTTAAGTATCATTTTGGATTTTGCAAAGTAAGGAGTCATAAAAAATTCACCAGAGCAAGGGTGAGATAGTTTTTCCTTGATCAATTTCATCTTCTGCTACTATAGCTTCTATAAAGTTATTCTTAAATATAATTTGAAATTCTCTGTTTTGAAATAGATGCATCATAATCTTAATAAAGCCTTTTGAAACTTTAATTCGTTCTATTGCTTTAACTAATATTTCTAAGCTAATAGTGTCATAGGCTTTGGCTATATCCTGAAAAAGTATCCTCAGTTCTTTCTTGTTTTCTCTAATATCTTCACAGATATTGTTAAGAATTTGAATAAGTTCTGCTATACTTTCTCCTAGTAATCCTGTGTAATTGAACCCTTAAGGATATTGCTGACTTTACAAATTTTTTTTATCCGATTGATAAGAATTTTAGTAAAATATTTTCATGTG